AATATTTGCTCAGGTAAGTAAGAGGGGGAAAAAAGTAATTTTATTTTAAACAAAGTGCTGGGAAAAGCACTTTCATGTGAAAATTTCCTGAAGAGATCAATAAAAGTTTCCTACGTAGCAAAAAAAAAAAAAAATTGAAACTTTAACATGTTTTAAATTAGTATCATCCCTTCTCTTTCCCCCAGTATAAAGTCTGCTGCCACACTGGCTTAAGTATTCCAGAGCTGCTCTTGCTCCCAGGAATATCTAACCTTGCCATGTTTTCATCAAGTAATTCTTGATTCTTGTTCTTGCAACTGCCTGGGCAAGGCTGCTTTGCCCACTTGGGTGCAGTGCAAGATCTTAACTGGTAAGAAAAGGAGGTTTGGCCAATGGTGACTCCTGGGGAAGGTGGAATCCCACAACAGAAATCCTCGTGGTGTCTGCTTTGTTTTGGGACACACCACACAATGTCCCACATTCACCCAACTAACAGCCAAGCTTTTCCAAGAAAATGTATTGCTCTCTCCACTCTGCTTCTGGAAATCCTACCATACTGTCCCAACTGCTAGAAAACTCCTTAAAGTCTCCTTAACAGCCTTCAGAAGCAGCAAGGATCCAATTCCCAACCAAACACACCTATCCCAAACACCTCCCTGGGCTCAGCATGGTTCCAGGAGGTGTTTCTGGGTGCACCAGAGCAGCAGCTCTGGGACCACAATGAACATTCCTCTCCTGGGGTTATTAAAGGGCTCAGGCAAGATTTCCAAATGAAGGGAAAGATGGGATTTCCTACTGGAAGCCCCCACTGGGATGACACTTGCTGTTGCCGATTGTGGTGATATTTAATGCCAGCTGTGGATAGGGGAATCTTCAGGGAATCAGGGAATGGTCTGGCTTGGAAGGGACCTTAAGATCATCGAGCTCCCACCCCAAAGTTGCAAGCATAAATGCAATTCAGTTTTCTGGATTTACTACCATTTTAGAAGGATTTTGTCACAGATATCTTTTATGGAAAATCCTTTCCTCCTGAGAAGCTGAGAGGCCTCAGGAACAAAATGTAAACATTGATTATCTGCTGCTGTGGAATGCAACAGGTGCATCTTTGATTTGGCCATGTTAAATGTTTGTAATTAATGGGCAATCACAGCCCAGCTGGCTTGGACTCTCTGTCCAATAGTGAAGCTTTTGTTTTCATTCTTTGCTATTCTATTTTTAGCTAGCCTTCTGATGAAATCCTTTCTTCTACTGTATTAGCACAGTTTTAACATAATATATATTATATTAAAAGATATATTATTTTTATTATATATATTTTATATATATTATATATAAAATATAATGTATTATATTATATATTGTATAAATATAGAATATACTATATTTTATATATAATATATAATTATAATATATTTTATATTATATTATTATATTTTATATTAAAATATATATTCTTTTATATATATATTAATAATGAATCAAGCCTTCTGAAACACAGAGTCAGATCCTAATCTCTTCCCTCATCCAAGAAGCCCTGTGAGCACCATCACATGTTCTGGCCAAGGCAGAGGATGCCATTCCCTGCTGCAAACATTACTCCTGAGAAGCAGGGATGTGTACAGAGATGTGTACAGACCTTGTCGAAAGCTTCCTGGGAGGAGGAGCAGAATTTCAGGCACTCATCAATGAAGAGATTGAGATACCTCTGGCGAATGTTGGTTGGGACTTTAGCACCAAACTCTGTGGGAATAACAGGCCTCTGTAAAGTGGTGCTCTGGAGGTGAGACAGAGAGAGAAAGAGGCTGGTCAGGCTCCAGGAGCTTGCTCTGAGGCTCTGCCACTTCCTGTTCTTAATCATGGGGTGACTTCCTTTTTGAAAATCTGCCCAAAGCCAAACTTAACACGCAGCACTTTTGGTACTAAAAATACCACTTGAGGCTTCACCACCTTCAGTGCTCTAAGTCCTTCAAAAGCAGCTGTATTTCACTCGAAGTCAGCCAGGAGCCAGGGACTCCAGGGGCATTAGTCACACACAGCATTCCAGAGCAGGGCATGCTGGCATTTCCAGTGAGAGGGCCAAGGTGAGGATGGCACCGAGCACCACTGGAGCCATGAACACACACCACAGCCATGGGCACCACACACAGGTTTGGTGCTCTGGCTGTGAAAAGAGAACAGGGGGCCCCACCTATCCCACCCCCATTCCTGGGGCATTCCTGCAAATTGATTGCATTGGGTGTTTTCCTCAAATTTTAATGCCAATCATGATGTTCCTAAAAGGATTCACCCCTTCAATTTACTGGCATGTTCTTCAAAAGCTGCATGTTGGGCTGAGCTGTGACCCACCACTGCAGCTCTCCATTTCACACCAGTTTATCCCCCCATCACAGCACACTGGCCTCTTTTTCAGAGAGGAAAATGTTCATTCATCTCTAAAACACCCAATTGTTTTGTCAGTTGTCCTCCATCCCACCCAAGAGATATCCATTAACGGAGCCATCTGCTGCAATCTGGAATGAAAACAGCTCTGAGGAAGGTGTGAGCTTGTTCCAAGCTGGTCCTCTCTCAATGGGAGAAGTAATCATTTTCCCCAGGAGACTCTCACCTTGATACCCTGTTCAAAGGGATTTGGTCTTTTTCATTAAATATATAAATTCTCAACCTCTAATATTATATCCTTAACCACCTCTGTAACTCTGCTAAATATTTTATCCTTTCAGTTATTTCTCTTATTTTTAATCAGCTTCAAGTTCTTTGTTACTATGGTGGCAGTTTGGGTGGGAAAGGAAAAAAATTACTTTTCACTCTTCTAGAAATAATCAGAACAAGTTATGACAGATCTTGACACAAACCATCATCAATAAATGGATTTTTAATCAAGTCCTGGCACTAACCAGTTCTGCCATCCACTCCAGCAAACAGCTCCTTATGCCATCCCCAGGCTGCTCCAGGAGGAATTCTGCTCTCAGTTGTCTTGGCAAATAACAGATTCCCAATGCTCATGGAAAGGAGGGAACTTTACAGAATCCCAGACTGGTTTGGGTGGGAAGGGGCTCTAAAAATCATCCCATTCCACCCCTGCCATGGCAGGGACACCTCCCACTGTCCCAGGCTGCTCCCAGCCCTGCCCAGCCTGGCCTTGGGCACTGCCAGGGATCCAGGGGCAGCCCCAGCAGCTCTGGGCACCCTGTGCCAGGGCCTGCCCACCCTCACAGCCAAGATTTCTTTCCCAATATCCCATCTAACCCTGTTCTCTGGCAATGCTCTCTCCCTGTGTCCTCTCACTTTGCTTAGGAACTCACAGCCAAGGCACCCAAAGGCTGGGCAGAGATCCCAGGGGGTAAAGAGAAACAAAAAAAAGCAACTAACAAAGACAAAATAGTCTTTTCTTTAAACACCAGCAGCATGAAGTTCAGTGCTCACATTTTACTCTCTAGGTCCCAGAGGGACATTATTCATAACCACCAGTGTGGCCCACAGAGCCTGGCAAGGCCATGAATCCATCCCTGGCTTGTAAGCACAGGAGGCTCCAAGCCCCTGACCCAAACACACCCAGGCCAGTCAGCACAAGAGAAGGCTCAAATTGGAGACAAGTTATCAATACTCACAAAGATCAGAGCAGCATTTAAGTATTTCTACCTTTTTAAGCTCCTACCACTTGAGTGTTTAATTTTTTATACAATGCTATCTAGGAAAACCACAGGAAGAAACAAACCCACTCAATCAACATAATCAAAACACCACTCTCAAGGAGTGCTAAGTTTGGAACAGCAGGATCAAACATTCCACCCTCCCTGGGGAATGACAGGAAAGAATTCAAACTCCCCTTACCTGTAAGGAGGGAACATGTGCTACCCTTTTGGGCACGATGGTGCTGGTGGTCTTGGAAGCCATCCCAGCCAAAGTGCAAGGCTTCAGAGGAAGGGTGGAGGCTTCAGAGTCATTGGAAGGTGTGACACTCCTGCCACCAACAGCTGCCTTGCTGCTCCCAAGGCCTGCAGGGAACACAAAACACTCAGGGACCAATCCTGCCACTGGGCTCCAGGCTGCCAGAATGAACTCACTATCAAAGGCCAGTACTGCAAGCTGTGATTTTCTCAAATCCAGGTCTCCAAAAGGACACAAATTGGGCAATTTTACCACCTTGCAGGCAAGGATGAAGAAATCATCTGCCAGGAAATGTGTCTCATTTGGGTTTGTTTGGGGTGACTGAGTCAGCAGAGTTTAAAGAGGTAACTCTGGCAGCTGGAGGCACTGACACCCCACACTCAGCTCTGAGTCCTTCCACCACAGAGGCTCAGCAATGAGCCCTCATTAGCACTTCCCTCCTGCTCTGCCCCCCCAGGCTTCAATGGAAGAGGGAATGAAGAGCAAACACAATCCAAGGAAGAAATAGAAAAAGGAGAGGCTGAAGTGAGGGAGGTTGGGTGAGACACATCAGGCTGGACACGTCTGACCTGCTGCTTTTCACAACAGGGTGGAATTTCTCAGGCAAAAACCTTCCACTGGCCACTACCAGCAGAGATTCAAGTCATGGCCAGTCCTACACATCCCCTGACAGTTTCACACGTGCTCAGGAGAAATATAAACAGGGTAGAGCCTTTAACCAGGGGGAGGACAGGACAGCGACCCCAAATCCCACCGCTGCCTTACTTTGCTTGGCCGCTGCGGTGAGGGCTGCATTTGGCACGTGAGCAATCCTCCTCTTTTCTCCTGGCAAACAGAGAGAGGTCTTTTGAGCAGCCCCAACCAGCTGTGCTGCCTGCTGCTGAGCCAGCTGGATCCTCTGGTAACACACCTCCTGGGCCGTGGGGGGACGGTAGGGCCGCACCACCGGCCTGCTCGGGGTCTCTGCCTGCACACACAAACAGCATTTAGGGCCAGCAGCTCCCCTGCTCCATCCACACCCCCAGAAAGGTCTCTTCTCCTCAAGCCCTCTGTTAGTTTTGAGAGGACAACATCCCAAGTGTGTTCCAGAATGAAATAATTAAGAGTCATCCTTTAACAACCATGGCATTAATGATTCATGCTCTGGGAAGGCCTCCCAGCTCACTGGCACGTTCCTCAATTCATGAGCTGCTTTTAGTGGCTGTGCCCAGCCCAGTCCTGGCCTCTATCAACACCCTCAGCCTTGTCCTAACACACAGACCCTGTGCTGCCTACTTTGCTTTTTACTGCAATAAAAAGGTGACACCAATTCTCCACTCCTCTTTGCCACAGGACACTGAGCTCCACTGCTCCCTGAGGACACCTGCATCCACCTCTGCACCACAGCAGCTCCCACCTCTCTGCAGCCCTGGAACTGCTTAAAAGCCTCACAGAGAAGTATTTATGGCATCAGAGCATTACATAAACTGATTTTCTGAATTTCAAACAGGCTCTGTCCCTGCCCACTTCTGGAGGCACCTCAGTTACAGCACAAACAGGTTCCACACGAGCTTCCTTTGATGGCCAAATTTAGGTTTGCAGGAGAAGTGCCAGAAATTATGTCAGCAAAGAGAGAAGTTTCCTAGCAGCAGAAGTGCAAGAGAAGCAGCAGCAGTAGAAACTTCTCCCTCTACTTCACAGCCTTTGAAATGTGAGGAACAGGCCTTGAATCTCCTTGGAGGAGGGCGGCCCATGAAACACCTGGGGGCAAAGCTGGCACCTCCTGCATTCCCGGCCTCTGATGCTCACAGCAGCTTCTGGATACCAAACTGGGTGCAGTCAGACATTAAATTATAATTACAGACTTCCAAGCAGCACAGGCCGCTCATTTTCTGCCTCACCTGCAATTCCTTTGGCCCCCATTTCCCTTGGCAACCAACCCTGAACTCGCTCCCTCCCCTCCTCCTGCTCAGTCCCTGAGCCATAAATCATGAGCAAGACTGAGCAAATATTCCACTTGGAGGGACACAGCAAGGCACGTTCTGAGGTGAAAAGTGGCAGCTGAGGTGCTCCAGCACCTCCTGGGCAGAGCTCTGAGCTGACAAACTCCAGGGAATTCAGGTGCTGGAGCTGAGCACACCAGGTCAGCTCTGTTTGCCCAAGCAAAGGCTCTGCTGGGGCTCCCATCTTTGGAAAGCATTTTGGGATCAGCTGTCACATTAAGAAAATATATTTGAAGGTTTGTACATGTCTAAAAGGTGCCTCTTTGCAATAAATATTTGAGTTAATGAATTTCCAAGCCATTTGCTTCAGTCTCTTATCTCTTCACTTTGGAAGAAAGGGCCCTTATCAAACCACATGAACTGGCTGGAGATATGTAGTTAAATAAAACCCATTGTATTGACCCCAGGGCTTCAAATTATTAAAGGCAAAAAAATCCTTCCTAGGCAGAGAGGAAAGGCAGAACAATTAATTTGGACTACCCAGCTCAAATTAGTGCACAAGCCTCCACTCTTATCCCTGCTGCAACATAAAACTAATCTGAGATCAGCACCTGGAGGGAAACACATTAAACCCTCAGAGAAAACATGAATTAAAATCCCAGCGAGAAAGGAACAAAAAAATCAGAATTTTTTGCTTCTTGCTTCTTCTTTGCCTTTTTTTTGTTTTGTTTTGTTTTAATTTTTCTCCTCTGTATTTGTACAATTGGGAAAGAAGAGTATCCAAACAAATACTGCTGAGATCTTGGCTGATTCAGAGCAGATGTAAGGTAATGGTTTTAAACATCTGATCAAATTCCTGAAGTATCTTTTAGATCCACAAGGCACAGAAAAATACCAGCAGATACAGAGTGACCTTGTGTGCAGTTAATTTTTATTGAAATCTCTAAATTAAGCTATACTGGAGAAAAATGAACACCCCAACCTATCCCAAAGGGTTACCAAGAGCACAATCCACTCACTCTTCCCAGCCTACCCTTGGTTTCAGGAAGGTTTTTTGTTTTGCTGCCACTTTTAACAGATCCTAAACATGGGAGATTTTTGAGCAATTGGAAAGAGAGGAAATAAAACAGCCACAGATTGATTCCAGCACAAACAGCTCCCACACTGCTGCCTGGCCCTGGGAGTGCAGCCTTTGCCAGGGTCAGGACAGAAAATCCTCACTTGGAACAACCTAAACTCATCTGCTTCTAATCAGCTTTTAAATCTGCACTTACATTTCCTTGTTTGACAAGATGAGAGATCCTTCTTTTTTGGCCAGGAAACAAGGTAGTTAAATTATCTTCTGTCTTTTCTTCATTTGCTTCCTCTTTGGATGGCTGGAAAACAAAAGAACAGGAGAACAGACTCGAAGATGCCTCTCAAGAGGGAGATGTGGAAATTCTCCTTTTGGGTTAACCTTGCAGAGGACAGGTGGGAACACGTGGCCAGTGACAAGAACCTTCCAGAAGGCACCAAGGAACAGCAGCAGGACATTCCCAGGCCAGCAGCAGCTCCATGAGCTGGCATGGGGCAGGATCAGCCTTACCTGGCACAGGAGCCTTGCCCAGCCCTCCCCTGGCAGCCACTCACACTCCTCACCTCCCATGGCATTTTCAGAGTCCAGGGGGGTTAGGGTGGATTGGTTTTTAAGAAGTTGGGAACTGACTCATTCTGCCCTGGGCAGTGCTGACACCTGCTCAACACCAAACCACAGTGCCCTCACCCCACATTTAGGGAAATATTTCCTGCAGGCTCAGCCACAGCTGTCACTGCAGGAAGACTCAGGTGACACAGTGCAGGTCACATCCAGACATCAACAGGAGGTAGAAGCACATCTCCAGCCAAGGCTACTCCAAGCTGACACCTCAGAGCTGCTCCTGGACAAGGAGAACACTTGGAAACTGCTTGAAATTCAACTCAGTTGTTAATTGATAGAAACTTGTGAAGTGATTTGTTTCTCAAAACTTGTTTTCGGTTTCTCAAAACAACTCCTGGCAAAACTCTGACAATCTCTGAAATTCAGCAAGAGAGCCAAGCCTGGATTTAGGGATGAGCTTGGGCACCACTTGGGACAAACCTGTGTTCATCACCACAAGGGCACCCTGAATCACTTGGTTCCCCAGGAACCCCAGGGTTTGTTAATTCACTTCCACCCCTAATAAACTCTCACAATGCAATTCTGCCAGGCAGAAATCACTGCCCTGCCACATGCAGCTCCTGCAATCACAAACCCTGGAGTATCCTGAGCTGGGAGGGACCCTCAGGGATCATTGATCCCAGCCCCTGTGTCTGCAGATCCACCCCAACACCCCCACCCTGAGCACCCCTGGGAGCTCCTGCAGCTCTGGCAGCCTTGGCACCATTCCCTGGGCAGCCTGGGCAGTGCCCAGCAGCCTCGGGGGGCAGAACCTTGCCCTGAGCTCCATGCCAAGCCCTGGCACATTACTGAGCCCAAACAACACAGGGTTGTGTTGGTTTTGCACAGCCTGGTGTTTGGTAGTGGGGGAGGCACAGAGGTGGCTTCTGTGAGAAGCTGCTGGAAGCTTCCACCATGCCCAGCAGAGCCAATCTCTGATGGCTCTGAAGATGGACAGGCTGCTGCTCAAGGCTGGGCCAGTTAGAGGAGATGGGAACACCTCTGTGATAACAGTTTTAAGAAGAAAATCAAAATAAAGTGAGGCATGCAGGTTTAATTCCAGCTAAAGAAGAGGAGGTGAGAACATGTGAGGGAAACAATGTGGAGACACCAAGGTCAGTGGAGAAGGAGGGGCAGGAGGTGCTGCAGGCACCAGAGCTGAGATTCCTCTGCAGGCTGTGGTGANGCCCAATCAAAAATCCACCTGTTGCATTCCACAGCAGCAGATAACCATTGTTTACATTCTTGTTCTGGGGCATCAGCTTCCCAGAAGGGAAAATCTTAAAGAAAGGATTTTTAGTGAAAAAGATTTCTGTGACATTTTATTTGTTCTTATCTAACACATTGTCTGTCTGACCTGCTGAGGTCTGTCTGGCAGGTCAGGTTGGGGCACACTGAACACCCTCAGGGCAGTGTTATCTTTTTATACTAAAAACTTTGTGTACTTTATTTACAATAATTTTCTAATACCTATGACCTATGTTAGATGATCTGGCTCTACTCTAAACCAACCCAGAAGTGCCACCATCACAGCAGAAGATGGAGGACAAGAAGAAGAAGGAGAAAGACAGAACACACCCAGATTCCTCCATCTTGCCTCTTGAACCCCATTCTAAATCCCCAAAATTCTACTTTTTCACCTTGTGATGAATTCACTATCATTCTATTCAAACCCTTGTGGCGTGTAACTCTTCACACAAAGTTGGGAATTGTTTCCATGGGCTAAAATGGAAGGCACAGGTGTTTGTGACTCAGTGCCAAGGTCTCTGAGCCCCCTGCCAGTGTCTGGAGTGCTCCAGGGCAGCCAGAGCAATGTCCTGGGTTCTGACAGGGAAGAACCTCAAAAATCACTTTTTTCCACCTTCCACTTCCCCAGGTTGTTCCAAGCCCCATCTGACCTAGCCTTGAACAGGGATGGGGCAGCCACATTTCCATGGCTTCTGGAGAAAAGAAATGTTTGGCTCTTAAATACAGACTCCAAGTAGTGATACCTCAGGTTTGAGCTTTTCTATTTTTCACATTCTGTGCTGCTTTAGTGGGTGGGTCTGGGTTCATATTATGGGATGGTGAGCTCTGTGCACAGAGCAGGGAGACAAAACAATTCCTGCTCCAGCTGGGGACCAAGGACAAATGATCCAAATCTCAGCCCAAGAGCACAAACACCGTGGGCTGGAGAGAGAAAAACAAGCAGGATGGGACTGCATGGGCTGGAGCTGGAAATGGACAATGAACTCCAATATGCAAATGGAGCAGAACTTAAAAAATTGAGACCCTGTGAGTGGTTGTGCATTTTGTGACCATTTTGGTTCATCTTGGGTGTAGGCCTGGCTGGGCTCTTGTGATGCCCAAGGTGGATCCATTGAGGCTTTTAACAAATCCCTGCTTCATTCTTTAGCTCTGTCTGGTCTCAGTTCTAGCTCAGCCCTCACAAGTCATCAGTAGGACCACCAAAAAAAAAAAATTACCTGACAAGGAGATGAGTAATAAAGCAGAATATGGCACTAATATTTGCTCAGGTAAGTAAGAGGGGGAAAAAANCCCTGGGCCTGGTGCCCCCAGCACAGGGTGGCCCTTGGGGCTGCCAGGACCCAGCAGGGACTCAGATCCAACTTGCACTGACCAGGACCCCCAGGCCCTTTCTGCAGTGCTCTGAGATGATCCAGATCTGCTGTGATGCCTGGAACAGTTGCTGTGCACATCCCAAGGGATGCTCCTGCTTTACAAGAGCTCAACTTGGGCACCTTGGTCTGTTTCTCTGGCTGTCTGCTGATTTCCAGGACATCTGGGTCCTGTTTGGCTTTGGGATTTGCTGCTGAATTTCTTTTTTCCTCAGCCCCTTCCCCAGCTCCAAGTCCCTCCTTTGGACACTCTCCAACAGCTTTGGATCCTTCTGGCAGTGTGGTGCCCAAAGTGCCCCCACAACCTGAGGTGAATGCACCAGCCTGATCCTGATCCTGCCCCCCAGTCAGTGTCACAGCTCAGCCCCCTCAGCAGGAGCAGCTCTGACCTGTCAGATCCTCGGCTCTCAGGCTCCCTGAGCGGTTCAGGGTGAAGCTGGTCTTGGCAGCAAGCTTCCCTCCCAGCACAGCCTCGTGGGACACCACCTTCTTGTTGCTTGTCTCTGCAAGGAGAGGGAACAGCACAGGGGGACACAGATCAGGTGACTTCAGTCCCACTTTGGGACACTACACATGGGCAAAAAGAGGATTCTGTTTATTCTCTTTAACTCCTGTTTTGCTCCAGAAATGGGTTCTCTGTGCCACAGGCTGGCCCAGCATTTCCATCCCAGCACCACAGAGATTATTCTGTTCACACTGTCAGCCCACAGCAATTTTAAGGGCAGCAAAGACACTTTTCCAGGTCTGCTAGAAACTTGTAGCTCTGCCTGCTCACTCTGCACAGCAAGCCCTCTGACTGAGCAGAAGAGAGGAGCCAGCACAGAAATAACCTGACCCTTCATGGGCTGTGTGAGGGCATCACCCACCCTCAGGAAGCAGCTTTGATTCTGGGGCCCTGCAGACCAACCTCCCACACAGGATCCTTCAGCTTCTTTCAGAAAGGAGCTTCAGAGCTCTAGAATATGCTCAACACATCAGACAATGGCAGAGAGGGGCTTTTTACTAATCATTAACTGGCAGCCCTCTCCTAAAGGCCAGCCTCCAAGTTCAGCTGCTCTGCCTAATGGCCAGGAACGTAATGAAGACAGAGGGGAGAAAAGGGAAGAGACCAAAGGAAAAAAAATTCACAAGAACAGCACAAATTGATTGTTTAATGTACCCTCTCGAGAGCCAATAATGAAATGTCTTAACCCTCTTCGTTTCTCTCTTGAAGCTTAATGTGTGTAACAGATTTCTGTGGTGATGGACGAGTCTATCACTTTGAAGGCATCATGTGAAAGTTACTCCATTAGCAAGGCTTTTCATTTGAAAGAACTTGTGCTAAAAAAAACCCACCCATGTGGCATTATCTCCATTTAGGCTGAGAAAGCCAACAAAGCATTGCAGGACCTGCCTCTTGAAGGCCCATTAAGGCTTGCCAGGCTATAAAAAGCTTAAACTGGAGCTGTTTGCCTTTCAGCATAATGCTGCTGAGAAATGGGTTCTGGCCTTTTGAAACAAGTTTCTCTGTGTGGTTTGTAATCCCAGCAGGGCTCCAGCTGCAGGGTTGGTACCTACTGTTGGTGCTGGCTGGGGAGTTGGGCACGAGGCTGCGGAGCTTCTTCAGGGTGTTCACAGCCACGTTCAGGTAGATGTTGCGGCTGGTGCTGCGCTCGTAGGCCACCTTCTCCTCTGCCAGGGCCTGGGAACAGCACAAATCATCACCACACACTCCCTTCACTGCTCACAGAACCCCAGAATGGTTTGGGATGGGAGGTGATGAGGTCTCTGGTGTCCAGATGACCCCAAGGTGTTAGAAAGTCTCTTTTTCCCAGCCCCAGGATAGAAGAAGGCAGCAGAATTCCTTGGTTGTTTATTGTGACTGTGGTCACAGGGGCTCTTGGATGAGGGAAGAGATGAGAATGTGGACTCCATGTTCAGAAGGCTTGATTTATTATTTTATTATATATACATATATATTACATTATAACTATACTAAAGAGAAATAGAAAGGAAGGGTTTCCTCAGAAGCTAGCTAAGCTAA